TCGTATTTCCACAAAATTTATTAGACATTAAAATGTGGGTGCCTCCTTTTTGTCACAATAGCTGGATGTGCAGCAAAGTTTTAAATGGTCTAAGTATCAGGGCAATGGCCTGGAGATTGCTGTGCTAGAATGTGGGCTTCACTGGGAATATTAGGCTTTTAAAACTTATGCTTTTCACTCAGTGATGTGTTCTAAGAACAAATATTGATTTTAATTTGATTAAAAGGCACAGGTAGGAGTCATTATACAGATTTCTTATGTGCTTCTAAAATATCTGCGGCTGTGTACTATTGTAGTAAAAGGATGTTTTTTAAAAAGAAAAATAAGTCTTATGCATAAAAGATATTAGATTTTGTCCCTGCTTCTTCAGCAACCCCGGAAACACTTTCACAATGTAATCTTGATGAAAGTGTCAGTACAGCATTATCAATGGACATCTGGCATTCATTGCCATAAGCAGCAAGTTTAAAGTCTAGTGTTTAGCATATTGAGAGCATCAGATGGGCTGGGCTGGAGGGCAAACATAAATGGGAGAAATATCATGCTCACTTTGAATCAAAAACTGATCTGAAAGCTGGGTGCAACTTTAAGGTAGAAGAAACATGTTCATGGGCTTTTTTTGTACTTGGAAACTGTTCGTGGGGATGGGCACTTCTCTGTTTTCTGAAAGTTATTTACCATCTCATAAGTTCTTTACTTGTTCATATGTGAACCACTGGTACCATACACATGTGCATTGTTGTATTGTTGCATATGCAGTTTGATTTCACTAGTCTTGCACTTACCCATCTCTCAGCACCACCTGTGGAGGATGGAGAATGACTTGGAAATTCAATTGTCACCATCTTTAAACAAACAAAGCAAAACAAATAAGGCATATGAGACATTAAGAGCTTAAAAAATATCAAAATAGAATTGGTCCCCAAAAGATATTAAAATAAAACACACCTTTAGTCAGATGTTCTGATCATGTGTTCATGAGCTACCAAACACTGGCAATGCAATTGCATCCCACTTACAGTCCATAACTAAAGAAATAGGTATTTGCGTATAGCTTCCACTAGGTGGCTCCCTCTGTAAATATTGTAGCCCTGGCAAAATTTTCACTTCAGAAATTGATCTGTGTATGCACTACCTTATTATGCCAGGAGTTGCCACAATAGACTTTAATGAGGCAGGAAAACTCTTAATAACTTTTGTACCACTGCTCGGAACTTTACCCATCCAATGAAGTGGCAAGGCTGAATAAAGAACATCACTAAAGCTTCACTAAAATTGGAAATAAATATATGCAAGTAGCAAGTAGCCTGAGCGTGTTAAATGTTGGGAAAGGGAGGGGCTGCTGGGATGCTGCAAGGTTCTAAAATCCTCCTGATATTTCATAATCCTCCAAGTGACTCACAGAAGTAAGAGAAGAAGAGAAGACAATAGTTGCCCCTTGATGGAAGAGTAGGCAGGCAGAAAAAGGAACCCTGCAGCTGGAGGATGTAAGAAGGTATTATTTCCCATTCCACTCTGTATTCATTGCATTTGGCACTGTTTCCATTCCTCTACAGTATGTCTTTCACCAAACAACTATGGCCCAAGGCAAGCCATAGACCTTTATATGCCCAGGGAGCAGACTGAGCCCACCCCCTGGGAGTGGCTCACCTTCTTTCCTGCTCACAATTGGCCAATGGAGCAAGCAGGAAGGATCAATTTCCAGGGCAGCAAGCTTAACCCAAAGACCTCCTTTGCTTCCCAGGAAGTGGACTGAGGTACCTCCCTCGTCAGATCACAAAGGGCAGAGGGTATACCTGTCTGCAACGAGGAAGGGTGAGCCGACTTCCACCAAAAACTGCATTGTCTCTCCACCCACTGTGGTGAAATTATGTAATTTACCAAATTATTCATGTAAATTACATAAGTTATGTTGTCATTATATTATTCTACCTCATTCATTTCAGTGCAAAGAAAGCACAGCGCAGATGGGAGAGGAGAATGTAAACAGTTACATTCTTGGTTGTTACATCTTTCGATTGAAAGCAACAACATCAAAGACCAATTTTATTCGCTGGATTGGCTTTCATTCTGGGCATAGGACAAATAAGCAAACATCAGCAATTGCTGCTCCCCGCCCTGATAAACCCAAACAATAAGATAGCATAACCGCCTGTCAACAGTCTCCTTAGGAATCAAGAGCTGTAGTTGAGACCCCTGAAAATACAACACAAGGTTTTTCATTGTTGCTTAGCCCACAACTGTTCTGCAGTCCACCAGCATATGACATTTATGTGCAATTAGTACTTCCTAAAAGCAAAGGAGGGGTGATGGGTGATACATTTTATCTTTCATTTTCTCTAGCACAACTAAATTCCTTAATAGGTTGTAAGCTGAAGTCCCAATAACAGATAAAATGGGCTGACTCTGCCTGCTCCCTTCTTCAAAACCATTTCCAATTATATTTTAAAATCTTCTTTGGATTCATTATATATTGTAATCCTGCCAATTTGCATCATTTACCGTTTCTGCTTCCCTCCACCTTTTGCAAGAAACAATCCCTTCGTATTGCACTACCCCCACCTTTGGTAGAATTTCAAGTTGAAAATACCTTGCGGCCATTAGCATGCCCTGATAATCCTCCTGGAAACTTATTTCCTGGGTGTATTTGTAGCCAATTTTGGGGCTATGTTACAATGACAGAAGTCAGGAATTATAGTCAATAAAATGGTGTACAATGAAGGGATCGCAAAAAAGACCTCATTACTTAGCTTGTTGGCTTGGGCTGTAAACATTGTACACCTTGCTCTATCAGGAAATTACTTCCCTTTTGATGTAAGGGCTTCAGTAACTCAAGTGCAGCCACCCAAAGTTGTGGAAATAAAGTCTTGTGACTTCTATAGCCTTGGCCAGTTGATGAAGATATATACAATCTAATTGTATGTGGAAGGGTTGGGAGGAGAAGGTTGTTCAGTTTCCATACTAACCTACCAAATTTGCCCTCCCCAAAGCAATGCATGCACTGAAACAAAGTTCTCATTCAACATTCACATTTTGCAAATTTTTGCAGTGCAATTTGCCAACCAAATGATATGCACAAAAACGCATGTATAAGTGAAATGTACACACAGACATACACACATGCATGCATGCATGCATGCATGCATGCATATAGTAAGGCAAATAATGTACAAAGATACAGTCTGTTGCAGGGAAGGTACTTGCAAAAAGGCACATACTAGGCAAAATTGCACGCAAAGGTTCAAATATTAAGTGAATTTTCATGCAAACTTTTTAATTGAAAAAACTGCAAACATATGCAGAACTGAACTGAAGATTGGGAAAATGAGAAATTGAGAAAAAACTGAAATTGACAGATTTATCCATATAGCTACTTTGTTCAGGCATAGCCAGAAGGCAGATCAGGATCTACTAGATAATTTATGGCCAATCAGCAAGTGTCTGACTCATCACTGCTAATAACAGCAGCAAGACAAGACTCCCTTCCTATCCTAAATTAGCCTCCTAAAATGAAAGAAACCAGGACCAGATTTTTGTGTGAAAGAACGGTGAACTCAGTCTTGGTAGTGAAAACAATAAGGCACCCTGTTCTAAGTATATGATCTCCCTCTCTACTGTGTTGCACTTGACTCTGGCTAATGAATCTTGGAGTTCAACTGTAGCCTTATTGGAGTTCGCCGATTGGGTCTGCGTTGCTCCGGGACAGGAGGAAGGAAGTCAAATGACACCGGGGTGGGTTCAAAGAAAGAGTTTATTCTGCTCTCCGGATAGCAGAAGGCACTTGTGTGATCAAGTCCACAACAAGTCCAAAAAAAATGAGAAGTTTCATGCAGTATTTATATCCTCCAGACACCCTCTCCCCCTTCCCCAGCCACGTCAGCTTGTATACGTAGGTTGACATCACATATGTTCCTGCTCTGGTATTCTCAACCATAAAAGGATCTTCCTTCCTGTACTTCTGACCATAAAAGGATCTTCCTTCCTACTCTTATCTGCGCGTATTTTGTGGTCAGCACACAAGATAAGGTACTGACGTGTTTTCTCTGTTCCCCTAGAGAGCCAGGGTCATCCCTTGCCGTGACTGATAAAGGAGAGAGCTTGTTTATGCAGCTGTGTCCTTGTTATGCTTTTTGCTCAACAGCTAAGTTTTACGCATTTTAGAGTGCTCTCTTTTGAAAGAACAAAAGGGGGGGTTGAGTCAGTTTTAAACTTACTGCACAGAAACCCATTCCTTCACAACTAAAACAACAACAAAGATAATTCTACAAACTTGAATTCTGCCTATTCCACCTTAGGTAATCATTTGCTACAGATCTGCTGCTCCAGAAACAGCATATGCTGTAATCATCAGGGCTTTTATTCAGCTGGAACTCCATTTTGGCACCTTTTAGGTGGGCGCCATTGTCATTCTAAGAGAATGATGGTGTTCATGGTGAGTTCCAGCATCTCTTTTTCTAGAAAACAATAGCACGGATCATCATCATCAAAACTTTTATTTATCTTCATTGAAGCTCTGTGTGATCTCAGCTATGTCAATTAATGGCTTGCAAAGTGGCACTTAACTTTGTGCTAATAGTTACCATCAACCCTACAGCATTCAAACTAAAAAGCAAATTAGTATCATAATAGATTATATGGACAAATATAAATCCTGTTGATTAGCAACAATTTTTAAATTAAAAAAAGTCATATCCAAATTATGAACATTTCTTTACGTGTTCATTTATTGTTAAGGTTTAAAATAAATTAACCATACATTAGCAGGTACTCTGTCAAAGTGTTGTTTAGTTCTTCATGCTCAGTTCTTAAAGGATGCTTAAAATTTTCATTGAAAGGAAACACACAATACAGTGGTACCTCGGCTTAAGTACTTAATTCGTTCCGGAGGTCTGTTCTTAACCTGAAACTGTTCTTAACCTGAAGCACCACTTTAGCTAATGGGGCCTCCAGCTGCTGCCGCGCCGCCGGAGCACGATTTCTGTTCTCATCCTGAAGCAAAGTTCTTAACTCGAGGTACTATTTCTGGGTTAGCAGAGTCTGTAACCTGAAGCGTATGTAACCCGAGGTACCACTGCATTCTATTTTAGAAAGGATGCAGGATGAAAGGAACTCTGCACACTGGAGGGAGTCAATTCAGTAAAAAATTCTATTCAACTCAAAGGACTTCCTTTATTATCTCTTCTTCATAGATCAGAATTATTGAATCATAAGTTTGAAGGCATCTTGTATGCCTAGTCCAACCTTCTTGATACAGGAAATCCAGAGATGGTTCTCTAGGCTCTGCTTGAAGACATCTGGTCTTCACCCCTAGGTTGCTGGTTCCATTGTTCAACTGTTCCTGCCATTAAGAACTTTCTCAGCTGAAATATATCCACCTATAATGTAAGCCTGTTGAATCTAGTACATCTTTGGGCTCTTCTGTGAGACGGCCCTTCATGTATTTGAGAAATGTTGTTGTGTTCCTCCCCAGCCTTCTCTTCTCCAGAATAAACATACCCAGTTCCTTAAACCTTTCCTCAAAATACTTGTTTTCCATATTGCTGATCAACTTCATTGTTCTGATATGAACTCATTCTAGTTTGTCTACATCTCCTTAAAATTTAGTGCCCAGAAATTGACACAGCATTCAAGATGAAATTTGAGTAGTGCAGGGTAAAGTGAAACTATTATTTGTCATGGCATACGTTGCAGTGTTGCCACTGAGGGAGTTGAGTGAGGCAAGCCAAAAGTTCAGAGGGAATCTATGCATCTTTAAACTTTTGTGTATGTGTAAGATGCAGCTGATCTGATAGGTTGTTGTTAGGACTAGAGTTTGTTAAAAATTGTATCCCAAAACTACTTATCCTGGATTAAAGAAAGCAGCTTGAGCATGGAAAAACCAGTGGAGTACGACCACTACATCTTTCTGAATCAGCTTTTAGTCCGCTCTATAACCAAATATCACCAGGTGGCTAGTCCATAAATTTTTGTAGATTGAGGGCCATGGACAACCTTTCAGGGGATGCACATCAAAGTGGATGTGGCCAAGGGTAAAAACAGTTGTGGCCCAATGACAATGTGGTAGTAATGGCCAACTTTATGTAAAGCAAATTTGAGGAACTGGGGTTGGGGGTACTTACAAAAATACCTTCAAGGCATCACAGAATCACAGCATGGTACTTGTGAGAGTGGTTAATAATAATAATAATTACCACAACAGCAGGTTATATGTACATGGGGGAATCTTTTTTTTTTTTAATCACAGTACCCCAGTGGTGTACCTATGGGAACAGCTAGTAATGTGTGCAAACAATTTTTTGGCAAGATGTACTGGAAGAACACACAAAAAACTTTAAAGAATCACAGTATCACTGAACTCTGTACTTCTCTGTTCAAAGCAAATTTGGCTTCCAGTGTCTTCCTTCACTGAACTTGTAGAGTGTAGTTCTATAGCATTAACATATAGGCAGGGCAAGAAATACCCAGTAAATTGGTCTATTTTTTAAAGGAGGAGGAAGAAGAGGAAGAAGATCAGAAAGGCTTTGTACTAGATGACATCTATAAATGTAGACAGGAATTTTTGTGTGTGCGTTTTAGCAGTGTTTTCAGCCTGCCATGCAGTTATTACACTTAAAAGGCAAATAACCTGAAATAACTCGTCTACTTCAAATACAAAAACCGCATTTAGAAAGGTTAAAAACAATTGGCTCCAATCTCAGACGGAGGCGTAAATTTAGTATGTGCCCAAGGAATCAGTGCTGCTCTGTAGAAATAAATAAGTCCCTCAAGTCAAATACATGTTTTGATTTGCAGTGGAGATTTACAGCTACCCAAGCAGGGCAGTGAAAATGCTTGCCACAAGCTGCATCAATGCATTTTTGCATAGTGCTCTCACCCAGTACTTACAGCAAGGCTAAAAGAGAAAAAAACCAAACAAAACAAGAACCCTAATGCAGTTTCTAATTGCTTGGAATGCAGCTGAACAATGACAATGTTCATTTCTTTCTCTTAAAACACACACACCAGCCCTCTTTTTCCCAGCTGCTTTCTCTCTCCACAGAGAGAAAGCAATCTTGACATGTTTAAAATAATAATACGAAATAAAAGCCAGAATGATTGCTTTTGTTACAGAGCCTTTTATGTTCCACGTTGGGAAGAGTATCACATAATGACACTACTTAGGGAGCTCTGCTAGAGCACATTCAGTCTAAAGTGGCGTACAAAATATTAGCCAATTAATCAAATATATTTCAATTTTCATTTCCCTAACCTTAAGAATGCTATTAATGGAACAGAGCTGAGATGGTCACTTCAGTGGCCAATACTGAAATAAACAATTTTGCCACATTGGAATTTTGGATTCCAAACAGATTCTTCTAAATGGCTTCCCAAGTGTATTTCTCTATATAACACACACAATATGGTGGGTTTACTTCAGGGGTAGGAAACCCCAGACATGGGGCTGTCTTTCTGGCCCTCATGACTCTTCTCAACCCACAGTTCCACCCTTGTTAATAGTTACTACCCCTTTGTGGCTCTGCTCCACACCCTCCTTGAGTACGCTTACCTGGCCAGAGTGTGTCTTTCAACTGTGATAAGGCCTCTTTTTTGCCTGGATTAAGGTGTGTGTGTCCTTATGACCACATAGGAAGATAAAAAGGCAAAACAGACACCAAACTTTGGGTGAACTGGGTCACATTTATTTATTCAAACCCCAAACAGATCTACATAGGGGAAACAAGGTGTGGAATTTAACGAATAACCAAAGTGTGGACAAATCAACCATGCCATGGATCAATAGGAGCCCTTCTTCTAGCCCTTCCCTTAAGCCCCACCCATTCAGGTGAGCAGGGAGGTCCACCTGATCCAACCACTCCAGGAGCCACACCCCTGGCAGGTGATACATCTTGGTCCCAAAGGTGCTTGCTTGCCAGTGAGCCCCACAGCCCTGAAGGCAGTTCTCAGGTCTATATCCTTCCCTTTTAAAGGTACCTAGGGGTGTTCACCAGAGTTCAAGTAGCTCATAATGTATTGCACCTACCTACTAATATGGCCGGTTAGTGGGGGAGGTTCTTTTTTTCTTTTCTTATTTATTGGGGGGGAGAATTATATCCTAACCTTAATTATTTGCATACATTTTTACTGACTTTAAAAGTTTTGGATTTAAGTTTGTTTGTTTGGGTTTACTAAGATTGTGTTCTTTGTATGTTGTCTTAAAAACCTTCAAAAACAGACTGTGTTTTCTAGCATTTCAACTCTGGCCTCATCCCAACAGTCTAACTCTCAGCCTGTTCCATCATACTAGCTGTCATACTCAGCTGCTGGGGCTCTGTCTGCTCAAAGAGATGCAATGTTTCCATGTCATGAAATTGGCATGAATTATATTAACACAAGGCACTCGAGGTTAATGCCATGGCATGGAAAAATGATTTGATATTGGACAAAATCAGGAGGGCAAAGAAAGTGTGGTTATGTTTGCACCTGAATTTTGTTAAGCCAAGGTAGTCAGCTTCCCACCATTTGCTCAGGGCCAGCCCTACCATTAGACAGAATGAGGATGTTGTGGTGAAAGGCATGCCATACAACCTGCCCTGTACTTCCTAATCTAGTTCCATACTCTGTGTTGAAAGAAGATCCAACTGCTACTCTGGTTGGCCTCTGTATGTTGAATTGGGAGTGGGGAGGGTGCCATCTTATTATTTTCAGAAATATATATATATATATATTGGACTGGCACTACCCCTGCCATAGTCTTCTCTTCCAAATGTCATACTCTACATATGAGAGTCTCCTACCAATAGAAATTCCCTTCCGCAGCCATCAGCCAATCTGCATGCAGAACGCTGTACTTAGAATCATAGAATCATAGAATCATAGAGTTGGAAGAGACCACAAGGGCCATCGAGTCCAACCCCCTGCCAAGCAGGAACACCATCAGAGCACTCCTGACATATGGTTGTCAAGCCTCTGCTTAAAGACCTCCAAAGAAGGAGACTCCACCACACTCCTTGGCAGCAAATTCCACTGTCGAACAGCTCTTACTGTCAGGAAGTTCTTCCTAATGTTTAGGTGGAATCTTCTTTCTTGTAGTTTGGATCCATTGCTCCATGTCCGCTTCTCTGGAGCAGCAGAAAACAACCTTTCTCCCTCCTCTATGTGACATCCTTTTATATATTTGAACATGGCTATTATATCACCCCTTAACCTCCTCTTCTCCAGGCTAAACATGCCCAGCTCTCTTAGCCGTTCCTCATAAGGCATCGTTTCCAGGCCTTTGACCATTTTGGTTGCCCTCCTCTGGACACGTTCCAGTTTGTCAATGTCCTTCTTGAACTGTAGTGCCCAGAACTGGACACAGTACTCCAGGTGAGGTCTGACCAGAGCAGAATACAGTGGCACTATTACTTCCCTTGATCTAGATGCTATACTCCTATTGATGCAGCCCAGAATTGCATTGGCTTTTTTAGCTGCCGTGTCACATTGTTGGCTCATGTCAAGTTTGTGGTCAACCAAGACTCCTAGATCCTTTTCACATGTACTGCTCTCAAGCCAGGTGTCCCCCATCTTGTATTTGTGCCTCTCATTTTTTTGCCCAAGTGCAATACTTTACATTTCTCCCTGTTAAAATTCATCTTGTTTGTTTTGGCCCAGTTCTCTAATCTGTCAAGGTCGTTTTGAAGTGTGATCCTGTCCTCTGGGGTGTTAGCCACCCCTCCCAATTTGGTGTCATCTGCAAATTTGATCAGGATGCCCTTGAGTCCATCATCCAAGTCGTTGATAAAGATGTTGAATAAGACCGGGCCCAAGACAGAACCCTGTGGCACCCCACTAGTCACTCTTCTCCAGGATGAAGAGGAACCATTGATGAGCACCCTTTGGGTTCGGTCAGTCAGCCAGTTACAAATCCACTGAGTGGTAGCATAGTCAAGACCGCATTTTACCAGCTTCTTTACAAGAATAGCATGAGGCACCTTGTCAAATGCCTTGCTGAAATCAAGGTAGGCTACATCCACTGCGTTCCCTTCATCTACCAGGCTTGTAATTCTGTCAATAAACGAGATCAGGTTAGTCTGACATGACTTATTTTTCAGAAATCCATGCTGACTGTTGGTGATCACAGCATTCCTTTCTAGGTGCTCACAGACTGTTTGCTTAATGATCTGCTCCAGAATCTTCCCTGGTATTGATGTCAGACTGACTGGGCGGTAATTATCTGGGTCCTCTCTTTTCCCCTTTTTGAAAATAGGGACAACATTTGCCCTCCTCCAGTCTGCCGGGACTTCGCCTGTTCTCCAGGAATTCTCAAAGATGACTGCCAGTGGTTCTGAGATCACATCTGCCAGTTCTTTTAATACTCTTGGATGCAGTTCATCTGGCCCTGGAGACTTGAATACATCTAAACTAGCCAAGTATTCTTGTACTATGTCCTTAGTTATTCTGGGCTGTGTTTCCTTTGCTGAATCATTTGCTCCAAATTCTTCAGGTCGGGCATTGTTTTCTTTATCGGAGAAGACTGAGGCAAAGAAGGCATTGAGGAGTTCAGCCCTTTCTGTGTCCCCTGTTTGCATTTCACCATCTTCTCCTCTGAGTGACCCCACTGTTTCTTTGTTCTTCCTTTTGCTACGGACATACCCATAAAAGCCTTTTTTGTTGCTTTTAACCTCTCTAGCAAGCCTGAGTTCATTCTGTGCTTTAGCTTTTCTGACTTTGTGTCTACACGTGCTGGCTATTTGTTTGAATTCCTCTTTGGTGGTTTCCCCCCTTTTCCATTTTTTGTACACATCCCTTTTTAATCTTAACTCAGTTAAAAGTTCTTTAGATAGCCACCCTGGCTTCTTTAGGCACCTTCCATGTTTCTGTCTCATTGGTATTGCCTGACGTTGTGCTTTTAGTATCTCCCTCTTAACAAACTCCCAACCATCATGAACTCCCTTTCCTTTTAGTATTACTGTCCATGGGATCTCACCCAGCACTTCCCTAAGTTTTATGAAGTCAGCTTTCTTAAAGTCAAGAAATTGAGTCCTAGTATGCTTGGCTGCTCCTTTCCGCTGTATAGTAAACTTCAGAAGAGCATGATCACTTGCGCCTAATGATCCTTCCACTTCTACCCCACTAACCAGGTCATCAACATTGTTTAGGACCAGATCTAAAATGGCTGTACTTGTAGGAGGGCTATGAAGAAAACACTAAAGAACCTTAGATCATCAGATCCTCATGGACGGGATCTCACTTCTTTTAAGATATTCATCGTTCCCTCCTGTATATTAGACTGAGAGACAGTAATTGGCCCAAGGGCATTGAGTGGGGTTTTGAATCAGTTCTCCCTTGTGCTCATCCAACACTTTAACCCAGACTTCCCCAATGGTGTCTTCTGTTTGTTTTGGACTACGGCTCTCATCGTCCCTGACCATTGGTCTTTTTTTTTTTTATAAGATATTTATTAGGGTTTTCAAAATATTACAAAATAGAAAAAGAAAAAAGAAAAATACAAAATAAAAATAGTTAAAAACAATTCAGTCTTTCAATCACTTATGTTTCATTTGCTTGTTTCCCAGACCTCCTCACGCCTCCTTTTTCTGTATTCCGCTTCTATTGTTAGTTTAGCAAATCCCTCCCCTCTTTGTTTATCCTAGTCTTCGATCTTAAAGTATTGTAACATTAAATTTTTACCTATTAATAGTCCATTTTTTCATATTCCCTTATGATATTACAGCTAAAAACCACTTAGTTTCTATCCAACATCATTCTAACATTCATCAATTTTACAATATTTCTGTAAATAGTCTTTGAACTTTTTCCAATCTTCTTCCACCGACTCTTCTCCCTGGTCTCGGATTCTGCCAGTCATTTCCGCCAATTCCATATAGTCCATCACCTTCATCTGCCATTCTTCCAGAGTGGGTAGGTCTTGTGTC